TCATCTTTTACCTTGTAAAGGCTAGAGTGCAGAGGTCACTTCCCAGAAGGAAGAGAGAGGAGGATTAGAGAAGTTTGGAGAGGGGCCGTGTGTTTAAATCATGCCTCTCAGCATTGTGGTGGAAAATCTGGCAGAAAACCCAGAAGAGCAGCTTAAAGTGTTTTATAACCCCAGGGTTTGTCTTAGCCTTGGCATCCTTGGCTAGTAGATTTGGGTGCAACTTCTCAATGTATGCAAACTTTTTATGCAATATTTATAACAATTGGATATGTAAAATTTTGAGTGTGGCTTTGGCAGTCACCGTTCCTTATGTAGCATATACATTGTATTAAGGTACACTGTGAGCAATCTAGGTATTGTTTAAAGCAGAGGTAACATGTAAATAGGTTATATGAAAGTATGCCATTTTACATAAAGGATTTGAGCTTCTACAGATTTTAATGTCCACATACAAGCATAAAAGTGTGTAAAATACAAACATGAAGTATAAAGAATAACTATAAGCCAAACACCAAAGTAATCACACAGAGCAAGAAACATTCCTGGTACCTATGCCAGTATCTGTAAAAAATGCAGTGTTATTCATTTTGTCTAATTTTAAACTTTATATGTATGGAATTATAGTGTTCATATATTTCTGCATCACTTCTGTTGTCTTATGATCTAGAATTTATCTCTGTTTTTAACATAGCTTCTGTTTGTTCATTTCATTGCTGTATTAAATTTTACCACAATTCATTTTTCAAGTGTTTTGTTGATGAATAGCTAGTTTCCTTTCAGTTTGGGCTCTTTGGTCAGCATTATTTTAAATGACTCTGCCAATGTGAACAGTGCTACTATACTTGTTTGAATAATATGAGAAGCATGTGTTGGAGTTTTTATAGGAAGTAAGTGTGTGTGTGCATGTGTGTGTATATGGATATATTATAAACTATATATATATATATATAAACTATATATATATAGTTTATATATATATATAGTTTATATATATATATAGTTTATATAGTTTATATATATATATATATATATAGTTTATAATATATATTACTACCTGCTTAACTTTCTGAATAAAACCAAACACCAATTTCCAATGTGATTAAATGAAAGTTTATTATTTGACGTCAGTAATAAAAGAATGAGACCAACTACTACTATTTCTAATTGATAATTTTATCATACTAAAGAAGTTCTGGTCTATTTTTATCTTTGTGTATTTGCAAAAATCTAAAAAACTTCAATTCTTAATTTTGATATTGGAAAAGAACTGAGAAACCACTTTTTAAAGTGATGATGGAATTATTCAAGTTGTCTACTACTTTTTGTCGGGTTTATTTTTTTTGGTACCAGGAATCGGGGATATAGCTTAGCAGCATAAGTGCTTGCCTGGCAAGTGCAAGGTCCTGTAAGTTTTTATATGTTATATTTTTTCCAACTTTTTTCATTTTATCTAAATTTTAAAATTCAGTAGCACACATGTGACTCTGTTGTCTTACATGTGTGTAATCTGAACTGATTTCGATTGTTTCAACTCTTACATCTTGGTTAAAGTGCTCTGTCTCTGTCTCTCTCTCTGTCTTTCTCTCTCTCTCTCTCTGTCTCTATCTATCTCTCTGCCTTTCTCTCTCTCTCTCTCTCTCTCTCTCTCTCTCTCTCTCTCTTCCTCTCTCTCATGATCCTGGAAGGACTTATGAGTTTCAATATCCTTTTATAAAACTCTAAATTCAGCTTTTCTGTTTTTCTAAATCATAAATAAATTTTTCATATTTCAGTAATTTCTGCAGTTTTTTCTCGTCCATCTCTTCTGAATTTATTTTCTTGTTTTTCTAACTTCTTGGCATATTCAAATTTAGTTCATGGAAAGCTAATTTTTAGCTTTCCTTCTTCTAATAATTAGGTTAAATAAGGTAATTATTCTTTCAGATGCATTTCATTAATTTAGATTCTTAGTATTTTTGTTATTGTTCAAGTGAAATTATTTCTAATTTTCATTCTTCTTCAGTTCTTGATTTATTTAGAAGTATAATCGTTAATTTCCAGGAGAAATTCTGTGAGAATTTATATGAAATGTATGGGAATTCTTTTCCTGTCTTTTAGTCATTAATCTCTAGTTTACACTGTGATCAGAGAACACATTTAATAGAATTTCACTTATCTTATGTTTTGACCCAAGGTATGATAAATTTTTAACCGTACCAGATGTGTGCAATCTTGCTATACTTGAAAGTACTGGAAGCAGAAATCTATATAGATTTGTTAGGTTAAACTGTACTGTGGTTTTCAAAATCACTGTTGATACTTTTTCTACTTACTCTTTTAATTATTGAAAAAAGCATATTAAAATTCTCACATAAGCTTTTGGTTTTTGTACTTGTCCTTGAAATTATATTAGCTTTTCCAATACAAATTTTACTAAAATACATATATTACTAAAGATGAAAATGAATTTAAAATGGAACATTATTATGAAGTGTTCTTTTCTATCTACTCCAACATTATTTGAGCTATTTGAGAATATGGCATAACATTAATATTTCAGTACAGCAGTCTTTCAATTAATATTTGCTTAGCATACTCCTTTCTATTTTTCCCAGTGTTTGAAATTGAATATATATGCAATATATTTTTCCAGTATTGGAAACTATATATATATATAACCTACAGCCTTCATACTGAGCTACACCCTCAGTCCTTTTCATTTTTTATTGTGAGACAAGGACTTCCTAAGTTGGTAAATTATCCAGGTTGAGCTCGAATTTATGCTTCTTTTGCCTCAGCTTCCCAGAATGCTGGGATGACAGATATATGCCACTAGCACTAGCTATGTATATATAATTTTAAATTAGGAGCTTTTAGTCCATTACTATTTCAGGAATTTAAAAGTGCTATTCTTTGCCCCTTATTTACTCTGTTTCATGTTTCACCTTTTTTCTGTTACCTCCTTGGTTTGAATTATTTATTTTTCATCCTATGTATTTTATTTTCTTTGTGTGTAGTCTATAAAATTATACACTGTTTCCATTGTTTCAATTGTTTTCTAAAAATATGTATGTATCATTATGTCGATATCTAACATTAATCAGCACTTAACCCTTACACACATTCAGCACACACATACCCAAACACATAACGCACAGCTGTGCACACGTATATAGTACTGTATATTTGTTAATGTACAGGAAATTATTTCTCTAAGTACTTTTCCTCTTTCAGAATAGGTAGAAGTAGGAAGGAATTTTGTGATCAAGATGAAGTAGGATAAAAAATAAAGATAGGTAGAAAGGAGACAGGGCAATTGTAACTTTGAAATTTTACTTTAAAAATAAAATCAAGACTGGAATACCTATTTTACTCCTACACTTGTATTTCTTTTCTAAGATATTCACTCCTAAACTCGTAGGGTCTTAAAAAATACAATAAATCTGTAAGTTAGGTCCATCCCTTTCTCCTATAAAGTGCACTGTGGTTTTCTCCTGATTCACAAATTCCACAGACTTCTACCTTCAAGGAAATAGCACTATTAATTATGTGTAATATCTCTGAACTGGAAATATAAGCAAATCATTTTCTAACCAAGCCCCACCGTTGGGTAACCTCACGGAACTCTCAGCATACACATCTCTGATCAACTGTCCTGAAGACAGCCCCAAGAGCAAATAAATATCTCGATTTCCAGACCATATTCACCTCATCCTTGGATACTTGCACTCCCTTCTGAGTATATACTCCTGTGATTCTGCTTAATAAATATAACTGTCCTCTCGGGGATATGTACTGAAATTCTTCTGCTTGACAAAATTGGAGGGCCCTATTTATGGGGGGGTGGGTTGAGGTTCCCATTCTTCCTTGGAAGGACTTCTTCAAGCTACATTCAGTGACAAAAAGTAATTACCAACACAGTCAAATCAGCCACAAAGAGGATTTAGTGCTTCACAGATTTTTAGCAACATGCCATAGGCTGACTTCACTGGTCAGACTTTGGGATGAGTTAGGGTAGTTTAAAGTTGGTTTCACGAGAAGTGGTTAGAGTATGGAGTCTAAACATTCTGGTCCATTCAGAGTCCTCAGGAGCCAGAGTACTGTCACCACAAAATGTATTTGCAATGATGACTTGCTTTGTGTAAATTTACACACTTAAAAGGCTATGTAAGGCTATGTAAAAATGCAAGTTTCTAAACTCAAGAATCTACTGATTACACACTCTTTTTACAATTTGAATGTTTTTCAAAGTGAATATATTTGTTAATTAAACTCATATACCTGCACACATGTCCAGAAATACCTAACTTCACTCTGCTTAGTGCTTCTACCCATGTCTAGTTTTTTCTTATTCAGAAATATATCATTTCTCAGAGTTGAGACCACCACGTGTAAAACAGCTTTCCTGTTCACCTTACCAGCCTTATTTTATTCAGTCCTTATACTACTTGAAATATTTATTGATTTACTTTTGCTTGCTTCCCTGGAATATGAGTGACCGGATGAATATTGCCAGGGTGCCTTCATTGTCAAGCATATATTTGACGTTTCGTAATATTTACTGAACAAAATTACTGGCCCTGGAATTTTAACATACTGTGCAGAAGCAGAAAACTGGGTTGGAACGGATCTTGACTGTGAGGAAGGGGCCACATTTGGATAAAGAAACTAACACCAGTTGAGGAAAAGCCTTGCCCAAGGTAAGACAGTAGAGGGAAGGCCAACTGCAGGAGCATCAGGGCTAGGGCATCTCCCAGCCAGGTCCCTTTTGGGTCCAGCCCTTGCAGGGCGAGAGCCAATGAGAGAGAGAGAGAACCTATAGTCTGAAGGGGTTGCTAGCGCTAAAAATGTGTCTGAAGGAGGATGTTCGAGATTCACGTCCAAATGTGACTTGTCTGGAGCAAGGCGTGTCCAGGAGCAGAACTAAAAGCTCCCGCCCAGGGCTCTAGCAGCACCAGGTACTACTGACTACCTGCTTCAAAATTCTGCTCGGACCAGAAAGACGAGGTCTCAGTTTCCGGGGATGTATTACGCGGCGCACTCGCCCCTCCCCTTCCGGTCGGGGCCACTCGGCGTCTGTAGTTCCACGTGTGCTCGCTTGGAGTGAGGCGGGAGAGTCGTTGCTCCTGGTTTTGAGTTTGTGGGGTCTGAAGTGCGGAGATCCTCCGTGGCCTCCAGGACGTCAGCATGGTAGGCACTTTCCCGCCTCCCCGGCCGCTAGGTTGCTCAGGGGTGCGAGGGTGAGAGATTCGAAACCTGGGCGAGGAGAAGAGCCGGGAGCGCGCTCGGCCCTGCGGGTCGGAGTGGCTGCGGCTCGGAGTGGCTGCGGCTCGGAGTGGCTGCGGGTCGGAGTGGCTGCGGGTCCGGGCCCAGCGCTCCGTCGCGGTCGCGGGGCTGTGCCTCCTCTCACCTCACTGAGAAGTTGGCGGAAGTTCGGGGAGCAGCTCCGTACCCCTGTTCCCCTTTGCAGGTTGGGTCTGCCTGGGCTCCGCCGCCTCCACCTTCCCTTCGGTGGTCCGCGGCCGCCCCAGTTCCCGCCAGAGTTTGGAGACGTTTCTCTTAAAAAATGGAGTAGATAGAAAAGTGCTTCTGAAACACTCTTTAAGTGTAGAGATTAGTAGTGTAAGAAATGTTATGTAGTTTAGAAAATAAAACGTGATATGGTCTTTGAAAACCTTGAATCTGTAACCTTAAGTGAGCAGAATTTAAAACTGTGTTGCGTTTATAATTCCTTTTTCTTTACAGTGAGTAGTTTGTATCACAAAACTGTGTCTTCTTGTTTTTTCCACTTGTGTTCCTAAGAATCATTCTTGAACGGGAATATGTTGTGTATCTACTGAAGAATAATGAATACTCACTACCCTGCTGTGTTTTTAAAATAAACAAAATAAATTTACAGTCTAGTAAAAAGTTACGATACTCTGGTCACAAAATTTTTTGTCCTTTTTTTTTTTTTTTTCTCTTTTGCTGTTTACCTTTTTGTTGTATGTATGCCCTTTATTTTTGTCTTGTCTGCTTGCAGCCCTGATTTAGATTCTGTACATTTGTGTAAATTCAGTCTTATCACCATGCTTGTGTGGTTTCTAGCTCTTTATCACCGGATTTTCTTTTCATTTTCAGTGAACGTGTATTGGAGTGTATGTGGCATGCTACTGTAGTTGTCCTTGACTATGAGAGCTTCATTTTTGCCTGGCTTTATAGTAAAAATATGTTGCATTGGCATAATGGCATATAAAAATGATGGACATATAGATGAATTTTCACTGGCATATTTCTGGCCCGGGGTTGTTATTTGTTGTTGTTTTGTTTTTGATACAGCAGTGCTATTAGTTCTGCTGCACCCGCTTTGACTGCCCTTGAGGATGTGGCCTCACCTCTGATGTTGGCAGAATGACTTGCTTGCTCTCTAGTCTGTTTAGTACTACGTATAAAATTGTGAAAATTAAATATACGAAGTACTCTGCCCAATCCAAACACTTAGTAAACGATGGTATTGTTATTGCCAGTGTCAATTGAAGTAAAGTAGCAGGGTACTGCTTCTGATTGTTCTCTTTCGTTTTATGTTCTCATATGGTGAATCTTTCCTGGAGCTCAGCAATTTCACATCTTTTTCTGTTATTAATATTTAATTCAACCACATGAAAAAATCTTGTCAAATTAGTTTATCTCACTCGACGTTTTATTGTTCTGCTTTAAAAAGTGTTTTAGTATTTTTCGGTTTGGTTCGTGTCTTATGCTGCTACTAGACACTTGTGGATATACATGTACTTTTTACGTTGAGCAGTTATCACAAGATTTAATTGTGCTTTGTTTTCTTCCCTTATTAGCTGGTTCATATATCATTAAAAATGTGTCAATTTTCTCTTAATTTATCAAATTTATACACCTTACTTGTGATTAACCTTAAATGACTGTGTACGAATTCCGTAACAGGAACTGTTATGTATAGCAGTAAATTTTAAAAAAAATTTCAATTGGATTTTCTACTGATGAAGACTTTCTCCTATAAGTTAGTAAAACATATATGTGCATATATATATATATATATATATATATATATATATATATATACTTGGAACTGTATCTTGTGCCCTCTTTGGAATAATATTACGTGTATGTGATTTAAAACAAGAGAAAATGATTATCTGTGAAAAATATTGATTTGCCTTAATTCTATAAAATATTAATATAAACTTAGTGACTTAAAACTGTAGTTTTCTTTTTTTTACATTTCTGTAGGTCTAAAATCCAAAGAGTCTTACTGAGATAAAAGCCAAGTATTTCCAGAGCTATCTTCCTATAAGGGGCTGTAATGAAGGATCTGTTTCTATGATTTTTTCCCCCCAGTTTCTAGAGTCCATCTCAATTCTTGAGTCTTGGCTCCTTCAGCTCTACCTTTTTAAATTTTTTGAGACAGGGTCATGAGTTTCCCAGGCTGGATTTGAACTTGGATCCTTCTACCTTAGTGTCCTGGAGTGCTGGGATTGCAAGCATGTGGCACCATGCCTGATGATACTTAACTTTTTTTAAAAAAAAATTACAGTTCTGTTTGCTTTTACTGAAATTATTTAGCCAGATCTGAGATAGACATTTCAACTTTCAGTTCATTTGCTACTCTAAACACTGTACTGCTGCTGCATTCATCACTTTTTTCTTAAGTAGGTGTGCAAATGTTTCTATAGAATAAATAAATGGAAGTAAGATTCCTTGGTCAAAGAACATGTCAACCTTACCTTGACAGACTCTTCAAACTGCTTTTTAGAAGACCGCCGTTTTGTGTACCATTGATTATGAGTCCTAGACTCGCGAGTGCAGTGGTTTTTATTTTATTTTGAAGAGAATAAAACAAAGCAAAATAAAACAGAGTAAAGCCAGTCAAAACAAACCAGTGTAAGAGATACAGGACTTCAAAACAATAGGAAGTCAACTATAGGTTATCGTAATGTCTTTTGATGTCTTCAAAATAGCCAAGAATACCAAACAGAACAGAATCAATAAAAACAAAATAATAAATGCAATAAAGGATTTCAAAATAAAACAACAGTAAATCCAAAATGGCTACAATCCAACTAGTGAGGGAAGAAAAAAAAGCACAATTAAATCCTATATCAGGCCCATGTAAAAAGGAGTACATGCACATCCACAAGCTGTCTTTGAAATAGCTACTGATGCCATCGAATAGAACAAAATCAAACAAAACAAAACCAAACCCATTTTGTCTTGGTAGTTTTATATTAATTTACTTCATTGAAGTTTTAATTTACATTTCTTTTAAAACATACACCTTTTCAACCAAATGTTTTTTACTCTTTCTCTAACTTGGATGTATTCTAATTTTTATTTTAGTTTGCTGATCTCACTAATCTTAAAACATTTTTATGTTAAGGGAAGCAGTGTTTGTCACAAATACTTGTTCTTATAATTTAATATTTGACTTAATAGGTTCTATCTGGAATTGTATATTTTTATGGTTTATTATTTAGAGGTATCTTTATTCTGAGATTGATTTAAACTAAGAATATCTTTTTGTTTCCATAATCCAAATTTCATTTTTTAATGGAATTATCTGGAACTTAAATGAAATAGAGTGACACCAAATTTTTAAGAGATTCATATGCTTTTTATTTCATTTATTTATTTATTTGTGGTACCAGGGATCGAACTCACAACCTCGTGCTTGCCAGGCAGGTAGGTACTTATGCCACCGAGCTAAATCCCCAGCCCTACTTTTTATTTTTACATTTTTGAGTTATTGAAATATTTGATCTGAAACTGTTAGCCCACAAAAAAAGTACAACTAACTTCTATGATCTAAAGGGTAAATTACTATCAAATGCTTATTTTGCTACCGAATAGAAAATTTTAAAGTTTTATTTTGTTAGTAGTATCCTGTGTATTCAGTGCTCTGACTCTGGCTTGGGAAGCAGTGATTATTCTATGTGGTAAAATACAGTGATTATTCTACGTGGTAAAATACTTTTGGAGTTGTGTAAGTTCACTTACAAGTGAAATATCCTAGTATCTAAGAAACTTGAGACTTCTTTAAAAATCCAATATTAGTCAGTATATGTGGTGGTATAATATCACTATGTAATCTATCCACTTGTTTATATAATTTCTATGCTAGACAAACACGATAAAACTGATTTTCTGTAGGAGTAGTTAATTTGTAGATTTGAGATAAAATTTTACTGCTTAGTAAATGAACATTTGTTGAGAGGGTTGTACTTGTTTTTCCTTGTTGAAGCATTTTTTTTAAATTTTCATGGATCGTACTGAGAAAATACGAAAATATTTTATGTATGGTAAATGTTACTATACATATTTCTGTGTTTCATTATAAATATCCTTTCTTGGAGCAACCTTTTCATAAATAAATTACAAGGAATCATAAACACCAATTGAATCAAAATATAAGTACAGTTTCTTTGTACTTGCTTTGTCTTAAGTCTTGAAAGCTCTTTATCTGAACTTTTCCAAAGTTGAGGACAGTTTCACACACAAAGCGTGTCAGACTATTTCTAGTGAAGGATTTTTATAGTCTTTAAAGACGTTTTTTGTAGACTTAGATATATTGCTGAAACCACGTAACTATAAAACTTCAGTTAAGTCTTAGCTTCTTCCAGTAATTTTTCTTTTTCCCTTAGCATTTTGTGAACTTTTTCATTGTTTTAAAGCAGTTTACTTGTTATGATGTGTAGGATCAAGATAACTTTTTACCTTTGCTTTTGTTTTCTTGGTCTTGCATTAGTTAGTTACCTATGCATTCTTGTGTAACAAGTTATCCTAAAACTGAGCAACTTAGCATTTGCTATCTCAGTTCTGTGAGTCAGGGCCACTCACAAGCCTGTGAGTCATGGTGTACCTGTACTCAGTGACAAGGTTTCTCAGTCTAGCTGTCTCTCTAGTCCCAAGGTACACATTGGAGGACATTTCCAAGTTCACTTACAAGTTGGAGTAGCTCTTCCTGGATGGCTAGACCAAGAGCCTCAGTTCTTTATTGAGTCTTGACTGGAAGCTGTCGCTCAGATATGTATCACATGGGCATCTCCAGAGAGCAGCTTCCTAGGGATGCCTGGTTTCCATCAGAGGAACCAAGTGAGAAAGAGAGTGAGGGAGGTAGAAGTCTGGTTCCCATAACCTAATTTTGGAACTCACATTACCGAATGTCATTCATTAAGGGTGAGTTAGTAGTTCTATTGCACACTCAAAGGTTCAAGTAGTGAGCAGAGTGTTTGGTGAATATTTTTGAAGGAATGCCTATATCAATGAGGAATTGATGGTCATTTTAATTCTACCTAGAGACCTTTAAAAAGAAAGTGAATTTGAGCTGCTTTGCATCAAAGGACAACAGATGGAAAGGATTTTGCCAGCTAAAGTACCCAGAAGTGGCAGTCTCAAGAAGTTAGGCTGGGTGTGGTGACCCCACTTGTAATCCTAGCACTCAGAAAGCTGAGCCAGGAGGATCCCTGTGAGTTCAAGGCCAACCTGAGCTACATAGTAAGTTCAGGGTGAGCCTGAACTACATAAATCCCTGTTTCAAAAAATAAGTGAATAAAAAACTTAAAAGCTAGAAATGGCACAGTGAATTTCAGTAAGAATAGTGAAGGATCTTTTGTGGAAGAGTATGAGAAATAATGCTGGAGAAATGACAGTAATTTTGAAGAGATGATTCAATAGACACTTGGCCTTTTTGAGGGTTAGGTAGCTGTGCCTTGTATATTCTTAGTTGCCTTTTCCTATAATCATGTTTTTTCTTTTTCAGAGATTAAGTATTATTATATGTATTCATTTCTTTATAAATACTGTGACTAAATTTTGGTCAGTGTGATGTGAGCAAAAGAATCTGTAGCTTCCCAGGTAATACTCTTTTTTAAAGGGAAGGAGTTTGCCTTCTGATGTTTTCTTTTCTGCGTCTCACTGGCTCGAGGATAGACCTGTTATTAGGTCATATCACACTACATTGGAGGCTGTAGCCTAACAAGATATTGAAGGACCCTGGATCCATAAGGATCTTGGCATACAGAGCCTCCAATCCCTACTTTTAACTGGCAAGAGCTAAACTTTATCTAGGTTCAGTCGTTAATACCTGAGATTTCCATTGCAGAGAGCCAGCTGATTGTGAAATAAAATAGGTGGGACAAGATAGATAATTATGAAGAAATAATAATAAAAAAAGATTGAGATATCTAGTTTGGAAGCCTGAATGAATTATGACCTGGTTCCTTCTTTAGGACTTGAGTCGGAAAATATTTTGTTTCCATTTGGATATGTTGATTTTGAGATGGGTTCTGTTATTTCTTTTTTGCTCCTAAATTCCACAGACCAGCTTTGACCTTGCTTATTGACTGCCCATTGTCTTCGATGTACAACTTCTGTAGTCATACTCTGAGCAATAGTTTATGTTTCTCTGCTCCCTTAATTTTTTTAACTGTAATGTAAATTTCCAGCTGAGTCTTTTCTGTACCTACTTGGAAGATGAAACAGTTGAAGACTTGAATTTGTTAACTCTGTCCGTGTCTTTATTGTGTTAGTATTTATGGTTCACTGTGTTTCTATTGTAATACTGCTCTTAAAATTTATTTCTAAAGAAAATTTTGTGACTAGTCATTTAATGTATCAATTATATATGTTATATTTTAGCCTAAAGAACTCATGGGTAGAAGCCCAGGACAAGAAAAAAAAATCATCCATCCATACAGTAGAAAAGCTGCTCAGATTGCGAGACATGCCCACAAACTAGAAAAGAAGGAAAGGTAAGTATTTTTTTGCCACTTTGCATGATGTATTGATAAAAAGCCCTTAAATACATTTATCCTTCAAACGGTATACTTAAACTTTCTTTGCTCTCTTTCTTTAGCAAATATTACTGGAGTGTATTCTTGGTAATAAGGAAAAACTGAACAAGGACTCTGCTTTTATAGAGCTTACCTAAACCAGATGAGTAATTTAAAAGCATTGTGATAAGGACAGTGAAGAAAGATTAGTAGGGATTATGGAATGGGGAGAGCGGGAGAAGTCCTATTAGGATAGCTTGGGAGGCTTCTCAAGAAGTTACAGTGAGCAGAGAGATGTGAGGAATCAGCTGTGTTGATACATACTGGGCCTACAAAGTGCCTGTTTTCCATAGAAGATGAGGTACAGAATGACAATAGGTTATGTCCTCTCCCATTCAGAGAGTAAGTCAAGGATGTCAGAAATTAGGGAGCTGTCTTATCTGTGTCAGATTTCAAGCCTTGGGACTGGATTATATCACCTAATGAGTAACCTAGGAACAGAAGGCAGCTTAAAAGCCCTGAAGGTTTCTACCAGGCAGAGGTTAGAAAGGAGAAGAATTCTACAAGCAAGCCTGCTTTGGGTCGTGGTTATTATTTGTGACATTGGACCTAGAATGTTTGTATGTTATCAGTTATATTCAGAGTCCCTTTATATTGCTAATGTAGAGTCTGCATTATAGAAAAATTATGGAAGAGAAAAGCCAGAACAGCATGCTAATCTCATATAACTTGCTCTAAGGAAGTTCTGTTATTGGTCAGTTTCTATTTTAATAGGAGGGAGCTAAAAGGCATCACGGTTTTTCTGCTTGGGCAGTGTTCTAAACCAGCAGGGCTTCCTTTTTTTCTTTCTTTTCTTTTTTTAAAAATCTGTTTATTTTTAAAGAAGACACCAGTGTAACAAAAGTCATGGTATCAGAACTAAATACAGTTTTAGTTGTGTCTTAACATTTTATGGCTATGAAACCATAGGTTTAGTCTGGTAGTAGCAATCAGTTTTTTGAGTAGCAGCGTCTGCAATCATGAATTACACTTTAAATGGAAGTGTGGTCACAAGTAACATCGTAATACGCAGTTGACTCTGCTGTGGAGCAGTACTTCTAGTAAGACAGAAATGTGGACTTGCATATTTTCGAAAGACCTCTGGTGACAGCACACCCAGACAGCTAGAACAGCTGAATATAAGTTGATATAAAAGATACCAGTAAGACTTAATGTGAACTTCAGATTTTTAGAAATAAATAGCAGTTGACAGACATTGTTGATTCATAAGAAATTCTACTATAGTTCGTTAGCTTAGAACAAAAACAGTTCTGGCTCTGGAGTACTGAGAGCATGTAAGTGGCTTCCTCAGGTTCTGGATCTTCCGGGCTGTGTTGAGTGTGTTACCTGGGACTGCATCCTTTGCCGACCTTCGACCTTCCTTAGAGAGAGAAAGGTAGGCTTTGTTCTCTCTCAGCTGTTGTCAGACTTCAGGTCTGGATGTTATACTTTGTTAGACCAGAGGTGCTGGAGGTTTGTTCATTGCTGTATTCCCAGGGCCTAGGCTAAAGGTGGGTGAAGAGTAGCTATCCAGTGAGCTCTTGAATTAACAAGTATGTAGAATATCAGCCATAGGAGACAGGTTACCTACAGTACTTCTGACAGTAACCAAGGTTTTCTTTGTTGTAATTTTCAAATTCATGAAAAATCATCGTACTTTGTGTCTTGAACTTTAAAACATGACAGTAGTACATTTTGGTTTTGGTGGCAGCACTGTGTTTTCCAGAACATTCCTTACTCTCTTGTGCATAAATATTCTGCATATTACAGAACCTTTTTGTACATTTGTAATCTAATCAGATTTCATTTGAATTTTCAAAATTGGTTTGTTCTGTTTCATTCATTATTGAACAGTATAAAAAGTGTTCTAATAACGTTTTGATCTAGTTATTTGAAAGAAATGCATAGTGTTCCAGGTATTTGTGTTTTTACAATTAACTTTCTAAGTATAAAAAAAAAGATGTTTGAATTTAAGTTCTTTGGGCAGTTTTTCTTTTTGTTGTTTTTGACAGATTTCTAAAAATTATTTTGGAAATTTCCTAACATATATGCAAATTTTCTTCCAAGATTGAAGCATGAAAAGGCCTTACGTCTCAACCTTATTAGTAAGTGGGTTTGCATATTTAAAATTCTAGTATAGTGAATTTTTGCCTGTTAAAAATTTCCTATTAAGTATCCCAGTAAAATATTCTTTTCATCAAGGTAATTTTTTTATCAGACTTGATTAAAACATCAATGAAATAAATTATTAAATTTTTGAGACTAAATAGTACTAAGGATTTGTAGTGTTAACGTTAAGATTCCTAGTGTTAAGGCTGAGATTCAAAAATAGTAACAATTAGGTCTTATTATTAAAACCAAAGATATTTGAAGCTTTGTCTCAAATCCTTCATTAGGTAATAATACAGTAATTCTAAGCAAGATATGTTTATGCTGAATAGGGCCATTTTTTTATCTGTAATATTGAGAAGTTCAACTGAAAATGATCCTTTGTAGTCAGCTTTGATCATAGGATGCATTGTCTTTACTGTTAATGATTTCTCTTTGCATAGTATTAACCAGTGATTTTATGCTTAGTGTATTTAATATTGTGGCCCTGAACAGATTACTTTTTCATTCATTCAAGATTTATATTTAACATTGAAGTAAATTTTGGTTGTGTTGCAAGCACATTTGATGTTGAGAATTAAAGTAATTATCTCTTTGGCTAAAGAATGACTTATGATTCTGAACTATTTTGGTACTTGTTTATAGGTGAAAAACTGCAGTGGTTTCAAAATGAGCTGGATCCCCAAAAAGTGAGATATTCAAGGAAAGATGCTTGTCAGTTAGTTGAAAGGTAAACAGTGGGCATATTCTAAGCAAAGGATCAGAAAAGGGAATTTTTTAGTCTGGTTCTTGGGAAATATTTAAAGTTCTAATCCATATTTGTAGAGCAGCAAATATGCTGTCTTTTCAGAAAAATTTTAAGTTCATACCCTGGCTTGACAACAGTAATGGGTTTATAATCTTTGTGCGCCTGAGGGTGGCAGTTAACTCAGTTTTTTGGGATCAGGAAAGACTTCCTAGAGAAGTGCCATTTATACTTGCACTCACAGGTAGGGCTTAGCAGATCTAGGCAAGGTCATTTGAAGAGTTACTGGCATGAGAGAACAGTGTCGAAAAGACTCAGAGTGAGAACAAAGATGCTGTGTAGTGACCTGCCAGATGTTTACCATGCCTGCATAGCAAGTTCAGGGAGGAAGTGTGGCAGGTACAGGAAGAGACAGCTGGCTTATGGAAAGATCCTAGGTATCAGTGTGAGAGTTGGATCTTACCCCAGGACATTGGGAAGGGTGAGAGAATACCAGTCACCTAAGATGAGCATATTTAAATTTCAGGAATGTCACGGTTTTGAGAATAAAGAAAATGTACTGAGGAGTTAGGGCCCTGGCCAGGAAACTGAGAGACTTCCATAACAGTCCACGCAAAGAAGTTAGGAGCAGTATGAAGAGAAATAAAGTCTCTTTAGTGAAAACTTACATGTAGAGTAAAAGTGAGAGAGGAGTCATGGAGCAAGCCTGTATACTTCAGTTGTCTGCTAGATAAATGTTCACTTTTTCTCCTGAGGTAGGCGGCCTGAGAGGTGGGATAGGTTGATGAAACCACTAGGGGACATGTAAATAAAAGGACAAGTCCAGTAGGTGCTATAGGTCGATAGGTTCTCCAGGGAAGGTGGTAAGAGGTACGGGCATGAGGAGTGCTGGAAATATAAAAACTTAAAGGACAAAGACTGGGAGTTAACCAACAATACGTAATTCAGATCCTTTTTCATCCATTGCAGGTACTTAAATCGGTTCAGCAGTGAGCTGGAGCAGATTGAGTTACTTAACAGTATCAAGGACAGGCAGGGAAGGCGACACCATTCCCGGGAGATGTTCATCAAGCAGACAATAGAGCGTGAGCGCCAGCAGTACGAAGGCTACGGTCTTGGTGTGTGCTCTGTGCTTTTCATATCAAAGGTTTAATCATCTGTTCATTTAGCTTGATTTTCCTTTTTTGATTTCTTTTCCCAACTTGCATTCATTTCCCCCCCTACATTCCCAACATAACTGTCTTGAAGCAGTGACATACTTTTCTCATAGGATGTAATATTTTACTTTCCAGCATGTTCCTAATTTGCTGTACTATGTGGTTTTTACTTACTAACCTTTAACCATATCTGTTTATTTAGAGGACGTACTATGTCTTTGTCGGTTTGTAATTCTTGCTCTACTTTGTTACACTAATAGTCATTTTTGCAAAACTATTCAAATCAAAATTATTTTGTAGCATTGTAGCATGTTGAGTTAATACCTAAAAATAAGTTTGTTAGTTTGGCAGTGTCATCTGAAGAAAATCATTTAGTAAGAAAAGATACCAAGGCTTACCCCAAAACAGGTAGACACCCAAACCTGCATGACTTGCACATAGCATTCACTTAGTTTACTAATTGTCATTAAAAAGAAAGTAGCCCAGTGGTTTTAACTGAAAACTGCAGATTTCTTGTGTACCTTAAAAAAGATGACCTGGCAGCATAATCTCTTATATCCCTGAGTTTCTCAGGGACTTATCCCTTCCTTCATTCATGGTGCTTGCCTGGCTTATTTGGGCAATTGTGTCGTGGAGGTTTGCTTGGCAAATAGACTAAAGAAAGTATTTAGAAGCAAGACTAAGTTTCTTCAAGTTTTATTAAAAGCAATGTGAATGTATAGGACCTCATGAAAATATTCGGTGGTCATACTAAAAATTACAAAAATGGATGGCAGTTGCTTTTCATTCCTGAGATGTAAGTTTCTTAACTGTAAAAGCAACAGAGAGCTTCCTGTATAACTGAAGGCAGGTTATATAACAAGATATCCCCCCCCCACACACACACACACCAAAAAAAAGCTGGGCGTGCTGGCACACTTCTATAATCTCAGCACTCAGGAAGATGAGGCAGGAATTGTTTGCAAGTTCAAGACCAGCCTGAATGACATAGTGAGACTCTGTCTCAAGAAGACAAAAAAAAAGATCCAAGGCTTGCTTTCTTCAATCGGAGAATAAAATATAGATGGTGGGACTTGCACCTCAGCGGGATTCTAAATGCTGCTGTGGCTTGGACCATGCAGAAGGTGACATTTTCTCACACTCTGCCCATCACGTGCCACATTTGCTTGGGGAAGGGGTGCAACCTATCATAAGCATCAACAACCATGTATTGTGCTCTGTTTGTATTGACTTATGGTTGAAGAATAATACCCAGTGTCCAGCTTGCAGAGTCCCCATTGCTCCTGAAAATTGTTGCAAAAAGATAATTGGAGCTTGAAACTTGACCCATATTACTCATTATATGCAAACTAAAATCAAACTGGATAAGAGATCTAAATATTAAAATGGGAATATTTATTCAGCTAGAAGATAAAATAGGTAAAACCCTTGAAGACATAAGCATAGGCAAGGACCTTCTGAACAAAAACCTATGTTATAAATATATATAATAAATGACATTAAAAATTGACAAGTGATTATATCAAATTGAAAAACCTGTTCACAGCAAGGGAAACAACCAGCAAAATGAGACAATCTACAATGGGAAAACATTTTTGTCAGCTACACCTTGAACAGAGGACTAATACCCAGAAAATATGAAGAACTCAAAGAAACTAAAGTCCCCAAAATAAAAAAAAAGTCCAATAAAAAATGGGCAACTGAAAGGAATAGGTACTTTTCAGAGGAAGTACAGCTGGCTAGTAAATACATGAAAAAGTTTTCAACACCACTGACCATTAGAAAAAGACAAAACTATACTCAAATTCCATCTTACTGCAGAGAGAATGGCAATTATCAAGAAATCAATAATAAATTCTTGCAAGGCTGCAGTAAAAAAGGATCTCTTCTATGTTGTTGGTGGGAATGTAAACTAGTACAACTAATACAGAAATCAGTATGGACATTTCTCAGACTACAATTGCATTTAGCTTACATATTCCCCTCTAAGTATCTTCCCCTAAGAACTAAAGGCATATTATAGTAGGACATGTATGACCATGTTTAGAGTAGCACATTTTACAAAACTGAATCTTTGAAGTCGCCTGTGTGTCCAAGAACAGATGAATGGATGAAGAAGATGTGGTGTTTATACAGAATGGAGTACTACTCTACTATCAAGAAAGACAAATTGAGCCAGGGATTTAGATCAGCAGCATTGTCACCTGCCTGGCAAGTGCAAGGTCTTGAGTTTGATCCTTGGTACCTCTCCAAAAAAAAAAAAAAAAAAAAAATTGAATCATTTGTAGGAAAATGGATGCACTTTGCTACCTTAATGTTAAGTAAAATAAATCAGACCCACAAGTTTAGATATTGCATGATTTCTTTCATATGAGAAGCCTAAATTGTAAATAAGTTAAAGAGCAGGTAGGTAACAGGAAGATGATGTTATTTGAATATGAGATCTAAGAGATGGAGGGAGGAGGAGGGAAAGTAAAATGAAGAAGACATATAATGTACATGCTCCAAATCCCCACAATGAATGTAATTGTTACGTTCTTCAAACCGTTACTAATAATTTTTTTTTTTAATTTTGAAGTGTTTTGGGGAAAAAAGAATATAGTATATCCACTTGTCAGATTATACAAAAGTGACATTTGACTTTAAACAGTGCCTGACATAGTGCATAACACAAGAGGGTAGCAGAAAGCTGCTACCAGTTCTGTATCCTTTTTCACCCAAGCTGTTACCTCCTAAGAGTATAAATTTGAGCTTGCAGTCTTCCATTTCCTCGTATTTACTTACTTGGCACCCATTTAAGTAGATTGTAGGTGTACCACTCAACCAAAAGTACTTGTCCCTGATGACCTTCAAGTTGCTAAAACAAATAGTTGCTCTACTGGGCATTAACTCAGTCACTCGTTTGGTGCAGATAGCAACTCATTTTCCCTTTACATTTAATTTGGTGTGGAAAACGCTGGCCTCTTCTAGTCACTGGCCATGAATGACTGCAGTTTTATAAGCTGAATCCTCTGCCTTAGTCACTTTGCTTTTTGCTGAGTCACAATACCCAGCACCCATAATTCAAAGGACAGGTTTGGTTTTGCTCTCATCTTTTAGAGGTTTCAGTCTGTGGTATGTTGGCTCCTCGACAGGAAGGATCTGCCACAGGGGAGAACTACTTTATGACAGCTAGAATGCAGAGAGCAAGGGGAGGACCCAGGGAGAGAGAGGCATCCTTCCTGATAACTCCCTTCCTCGTATAAGCACGTGTAATGAGGTTCTTAATAGCACCCACATGATCCAGTTGCCTTCCAAACCTGAGATTTGGGGATTATTTTAGGTCTAAACCCTAACATCTTCATCTCGATAAACTAGTTGGCTTACATCCCTATCCTTGAGGTATCTTTTTTCTGTTTACACCCACTGTTACCATTAGTCTTATTCAATCCCATAGGTTTAAAAACAGTTGACAAGTGTCCAAAGTCAATTTGTCAGTCTTATCTTGTCCCAGTGTTTGAGACTTGAATTATCAAACTTGTCTCTCAAGTCTTCTATGTTAGAAAGTAGAATGCTGCTTTTCTCCTAAAATTTGCTCCTCTTGCATGTTTGTAATTTCTTTCAGCTTTATCAGCACTTGCACTTCTGCTCAGATCAGAAATCCTAGAGTCACTTTCACAGTCCACATCAAAACCCATCAGCAGAGCACGTTTAGAATCTGATGCCTTTCACTTCCACTACCATCTGCCTAGCACAGGCTGCCTTCATCTCAACTGTACAGTAGAATAGCTCCCACTTTTCCTCCTAAAGTCTTCCAATGCAGACCAAGATTAATTGTAGCAATAATTAACTGAGCATATTCAAGTAAAATGTTCATTTGTGACAGACCTAGTACTGTAGTAGCTCATCAGTCTTCTTCCAGTTCTGCCTCAGTGTTTCTTCCAGAATCAAGGATGGTGTCTGGAGAAAGATTTGCCAGCTCTTACTAACAAATGTATAGAAACATGTGGACAAACTGTCACCGATTCTGTTTGATAAGATTGTGAGAAGAGTAAATATGAACATACTCATTTTATCAGGTTTCCTTTTTACAAATTGTTTTGTGCTTAATTTATACCTTTTTAAATATATAATCCCTCATACTGTTATTTTTTGACACTCTTGGAAAACTCAGTATGCAGATGTGTCAGATATTTAATACATTGACCTGATCTTTACTTAAGTAGTATGATCATGCATATTAGCTTTTGATAAACTTGATAATCATGATAATACATACTTATTTTAAATTTTTTCTTACATTTTGAATAATATACTTTTTAAAATATTGTTTGCCCTTTTTAGGTACTTCAAGGTAAGGCATTGCTTGAAAAATTTTACTTTCACCAAGAAAAACTATAAAGTGCTCTGCTGTGTATTGTTTTATTCACAAATTTTGTACTAAAATTTATTTTTAATAGCTTAAGTCACCTTTTTAAACTCTACTTGCCAGACTTTTTATGCTAAGTATAACAATGCTTCACAGTTTTCTTTTTCCTTTGAGTATTCTTCCTGTCAGTAGTTACTTGTTGTATCTGAAATGATAAATGAAGAAACTATAAAATGATAGAATGTAGAAAAAGTTGCCAATGGCTATCAATTTTTCTTTCCTAGAAATTCCAGACATTTTACATTCAAGTAGCCTGAAAACTTTTAGGTAAGTGTCTCTTTTAATGTTCTCTGGAAGGTGTATATGAAATATATGAGGCATAAGCTTTTTTTTTCTGTAAACATTAGAACATTAGAGATGAAAGAACATTGGAGGGTTTGGTTTTTTTTTTTTTTTTTTTTTTTTTTTTTTTTCATTTTAATCCACCATGAGCCATTTTGAGTTGACTTTTGGATGCCTTAAGAAATTTTCGATGTGTTATAAGGTTTGGGTTTTTTGCATGTGCTTATCCAGTTGCTCCAGTATATTTATTGAGGGTACAATCCTTTCTCCACTTAACTGTTTTTGCATCTTTACCAGAAATTAAGTATCTGTTATGTGGGTATCTATTTTGGGACTTTATATTGGTACTTTGGTTGTTTGTGTATTTTGATATCTATGCTGTTTTGTCTTGATTGGTGTAACTTTGTGCTAAGTCATGGGATTGGGGAGTATTGGAGCTATAATTTTATTTCTTTATCAAAGTTGTTTAGACTATTCTGAGTCTTTTTGTTTTTACAGAAATGTAAGAATCAGAATGTTACTCTATATGAAAACTGATGGTGACAGTTTGATAAGGGATTGTGTTTTCTGATCTTTATTTGTATTCATTTTGGTTTAATTCTGTCTTTTAATTTTAAAAAATCAGGTTTCTTTTAGCCTTTTATCTTACTAGAAAATGTAAGAATTTTGCACATTTACATTTTTTGGAAACACCTATATACTGAAATAACGATTAGGTGTGTCCTTCGTTTTTATTTTAAATTGTTTAAAATACTTTAATTTAGTATTGCTATTCCTTCTCAGTTCTTTTTCCTTTTTTAAGAGATAAAATAACAGCTGCTGACTCTCTGGCTCAGCATCCCCGCCCAGCTCTTCTGGGCCGCAGTCTTGGAGGAGATGGTTAGCGGGGAAGGGAGGAAGAGTGTTAAGTCAGTGAGAAGCCCTTGCTGCAGTGGTCTCCACAGTGATACACTATAGCAAAGGAGACCATGGTAATTTGGGTTTAAAAACTGAAACTCAAATTACCGTAAATTCTCTGTCTTTAGAAAGGGCTTTTTATTAGACATTTTGGTCTTAACTAGACCATGTTAATGGATCAGAAAACTTTTGTTAATTGAAATTAAATCAATTTAAGTCAGACATAATCAAAAGTAAGGTATGCTCCTTATTTTTGAAACAAAGAGTGTCCTGGCTCTTCCAAATAAAGTCAGAAGTAAGAGAAGAGATGAGCATGGTCTGTTAGTATTGCTGGTTACTTTGGTTCTCAAAAGTTTCATGTTGCCTCTGAAGTTCTTGAGCATAAATTGTTACAGAAATTACTAAAGTTGTAAAACCATATTTTCTGTTATAAAAATAAATCTTTGATTACTGAAATTCAATTGCAGCGTATCATTGTGTGTGAAAAGGAAGACCTTTGCTGATTGTGCTTTTTGTAGATTTGCAAGGATGGACAGTTGAGAGTCTCAAGTCCATGTAGCATGGTAGAGATAGTTCTTCAAGTCAAGGAGAATAACGGAGGGGAACAAAGCTTTTTTGTTATTCCTTTTTGAAGTTTGCTGTTTGCTTTTGAAGTTTTGAGTATTTTTGGATTCCTGGTGCAGATATTGCTGCCGTAGTGGAAAGAGAAATGCAGTAGACATGGAAAAACAGAGCCAGACTTAATGGGATATTAGTTTTTTTGTAGTTCAGTTGTGTATTATTTCTAGTGCATTTAATATCTGTTGTAAATTTATAAAAGTTTCTTTTGCTATCTTAAGTTTTGCAAATTTCCTTTTTCACTTCAACTCCTGCCAACGCTACACTCTTTGTTTTGTCTAGGGAATGGGATTTGGATCTGAAGAAATTACCAAACATTAAAATGAGAAGACTTTGTGCTAATGATGCATTTGCTAAGAAACACAAGAAGGAAGCTCAAAATTTAACTATTGACAAAGATTTAGGGCAGTTGGAATTAAAAGGAGAGTCAAGTAACTCAGATGAAGAAATGACTCCTGTGACCTAATTGTCCTTACTTGAGTTGAAAATAATATGAGAACTTTAAGTCATACTCATTACCCATAAAAAATAATTATGTAGTATTTGCTGTTCAACTTATTTTCTCTCATAATGTGAATTACATTTGCAGTTTCAAAAATGGTATAATTTATATTTAAAAATGGAAATTGCATTTTATTTATATTAAGTTGCCAAACTAGAAGATATAGTCTGTTTTTCATTACTATACCAAAATACCAGAAGCTTGAAAACTTACAAAGAAGAGAAGTTTATTTAGCTTGTGGTTTTGGAGGATGAAGGTCTGGACAGCAAGCACAGTGCTAGCTCTGGCAAGGCCCCCTCTTGCTTCTGCATTCTGGGTGCTTGGTGTTCATGGTGGGAGCGCACGATACAGGGAGAGATCACATGGCAAGACTGGAAGCCAGAGAATGGAAGGAGCCAGTAAAGATACTACATCAGGCTCTGTCTCCTAGGGGTCCAGGAGAGTTAAATGATTTCAGGTTAGCTCCATTTGATGTTACATTATTTTTTGCTTTCTCATTGTAAAAGGTGACAGCTTTTATTCAGCCCTAAAAGTTGAGAACCACTGATTATAATTGTTAACTTTTTCTTCTAGCAGCTATATTAAATTTATTACAGTACTTCAAATGTCCTGATAAACATGAATATTCTAGAATTTTGTTTTTCAAAGAGCTTACTAAATACTAATATATGTTTGTCTTTTAAAGGATGCAAATATATTTAAGTATTTTCAAAAACAAAAAACATGCTGTATAAGATTAGGTATCAACTAAACTGTTAACAATTTATTCAAAGTGTTATAACTTTTATACTTCTGAAAATTAAAAATAAAATTTATTTCTATAATCTTAGCTCTTATAGTTCCAATTATTTAATTTTTAATAACTGATGCTAATTACCCTAATATGTGTAAAAATGTGGTTTTATGATTTAATTTGATACATTTTTACTTATTGCAAGTTTCCTCTGTGTGTTCGTGTAAAGTCAAAATATCTGTGAAAATTCAGTCATATAATACTACAGTAAAGACAATGAAAATCATTTTATGTGGTCTGATATTTGCTAAATGAATTAATATTTAGGACCATAATAATCATAACACTCTTGGCAAGGGCAGAGTAGGCTAAGAGACAAGTTATCTGTAAAGTGATGTTTTTAATCCTTGTTGTAGAAAATGTTGTTCCTGTATGGCTCTTACTGTTTTCTTCTAAACCCTTTTTAGGTCAGTAGCTTATGTATTCTACAGGCCATACCTATGAAACAAAGTAAAGGTGACTGTGTGTGTGTGTGTGTGTGTGTGTGTGTGTGTGTGTGTGACTACCCTTCAAAAACATGAAAGACCTTAGTTATAAAGGAGGCCACAAACTGTTTTGCCTGTTACAGTGGGCTGCTCCCTTGTTTATACCAGTGAGCAAAACTTCCTTAGATGTAGGATAGTAATACATTTGTAAATTGAGATCAGCAGCCAGACATGGTGGAACACACATGTAATCCCAGAACTCCAGCACCCGGGAAGCTGAGGCAGGAGAACCACTGCAAGTTTGAGGCCAGCCTGAATTGCATAGTGAAACCCTGTCTCAAAACCTAAAAAAATAAATAATAAATAATAAATTCACATCAGCTAACGACTGTGTGTGTGTTCTCTGCTTTTAATATCTGAGTTACTTTTCATGCTTAACTGACAAGTTTCTCTTTTGAATTGTGTTATCTGCAAATAGGAGCTTTTTCTATTTTTACTTTTTAATTCATATTTACAACATACAATAATTACCTTTTTCCCTTAGTATATGTGCTACTAAAAGCAAGCATAGTAAAATACAGTACTTTTTGGAGAATTATATGTATGAATATGATCTTGATCACTGTTGATCCCCTTTACTGCCTATCCTCTCTGTTCCTCACTTCCTATCATAGCTTTTCCCAGTCTCTGAAAAAATATTCCTATTTCCTACGTTTGTCCTTTGTTTTGCTCAATTTATTTATATTTTGAGTTTCTCAAATAAACTGACTTACTTCATTTAGCAGTATAATGTCAAGATCCACTAAATAATACTCCAGTGTGTATATGTACCACATTCTTTATCCATTTGTCTGTCTGTTGATGAGTATCAAAGCTATTCCCGGGGCTGGGGATTTAGCTCAGCGGCATAAGCGCCTGCCTTGCAAGGAGACAGTTGTGAGTTCGATCCCCGGTACCGATAAAAAAGAAAAAGACAAAAAAAAAATATGTTTAAAGAAAATCACAGCTTAGTCAAGTGTACCTAAACATGCTCAGAACCCTTACATTAGCCTACAGTTTGGCAAAATAACCTTACAGAAAGTCAATTTTAGGGGCTGGGGATTTAGCTCAGCGGCATAAGCGCCTGCCTTCTTGCAAGCAGGCAGTCGTGAGTTCGATCCCTGGTACCGATAAAAAGGAAAAAGACAAAAAAAAAAAAAAAGCTATTCCCATAGTTTAGGTATTACCAATTTTTATATGACTGTCTAAATATCACTGTAGTATGATGGCTTTAACTCTTGGAAAAAGTACCTAAGAGTGTATAGCTAGGTGAACCGGAATGTCTAGTTTTATTTTTTTGAGTAGTCTCATTGATATCCATAGTGGTTGTACATTCTTACCAGCAATTTACCATAGAACATTTTCTTTTCTTACATCCTTGCCAGCATTTGTTATCTTTTGAGTTCTTGTTTTCAGAGTTGCTTTAATCTGCATTTTCAAGTGTTTTGCTTATTTTATCTTCCAGTGTTTTAAAGCTTATGCTTTATTATCTGGATCTTTGATCCATTTTGATATTACTATGAGCTGAGAAATACGGATCTAGTTTAATCCTACATGTGTCTATTTTTCCTAGTATCGTTTGTTAAAGGGGGTGTCTTTTCTCTACCTCTTTATTGTTTTTATGTGTTTCAGGAGCAGCAGATTGGGTAGGCATCCTCTTTGCTGTACATGTTAGAAAAATTTCTCCATTCTTTGAAGTTTTCAATGTCCACTGTTTCCTGTCTTTAGATGATTGCTTGCCCCAGTAAGCTTCCTAGTTCACAGTGCCCTCCTATGTATGTCCTCATATGTTTGCCCCTGACTACATAAACCAAACAAATCATACTTTATGTATTTTTCAAAAGCTAAAGCAAGAAATGTTATCTGTCTCTTTCAGGCCTGTTCCAGGCAGAAAAATGTTGCTAAAGATCAGAAGATTGCTTTCACATGCGTGCTTTGTTTCTTTGTTAAAATTCTTGAAGTCAGATAATGACTTTATTGTTTGTTTTAAAGTGCACTTGAATTCTAGTCTCCTCAAAATTTAACTCTTGGCCTTTTGTGAATCTTTGAAACAAATAGAAACTATTGTTCTCTCAATGTAATACATGCACTATCATTTCTTCTTTCAAGGGCAAATACTCCTTGGTCCTGGATCCCATCCTTATGGTTTTCTCTGAAGCCTTGATTTTTTTGCCTAAATTTTTTTCATTTGATTTCTCCAGCCAAAAATCTTCCTGTAGGTCTTCCTTGATTCTCCCCTTTTTTTCTGTGCTCCTTGCTATATAAGAAGTAATAGTAGTTCCATGAAACTCAAGCGCATGCATATCAAGCTATCTTACTTTTCACTCTTAAGCCACAATGTCTTATCTTGCCTGCATGGAGTACCTTTTTTTTTTAATGCAGCAGCTTTTTAACTGGTCTTTCTGCCACTATTCTTAGTCCTCTTTCAAATACTGATAACAATTTGTATATAATAGGCAAGGTTTTATCATAGCTGACCTCAACCTTAGAATGTCCCATGATCTTTCTGAAATGGGGATAGTTTGCCATAATCTTCCAAGTTATGTTCAAGTATCAGACTCTTCATCTCAAATTCTTTTGGAGTAAAGCTGCAAGTTAGCATGCTTACTGCTTAGAATTAGCATCTCGGCAACAGGGTGCCTTCCCTTTGAGTTGCATTATATCATGTAGCTGCTTTTTTGTTTGTATCTTCCTGTTTGGGAAGACACATGGAAAGATAGCACCTTTCTCTGTCCATCTTCACTGTCTGTGTAAATAAACTTTATAATAAAGGCTCATTTTCTGCCCAAATCTGTCAACCTTGCTAAACATTTTCTACTCCAGACTAGCACTTTTTCCCTCTGAGTGCCTATTCTGAGTCTTTGGCATGGCTGACAGTGACAGTTTTCTACCTTTTCAGGTCTGAGCCTGGAAGTTACTTCCAACAGTTGTGTCTAGCCTGTGACCCACTGTTGTGATTTGTGTCTAGATGTCCCCCCAAATCCTCTTGCAGTCATGGGGGTGGGCTTCTAGAGTTCATGATTGACTCATGGTCCAATGCTGGGATTATAGGTGTTAATGCTATGCCCACCTTGGGGTGGATATTCTGCGTACATCACAGGGGAGGGAAAGAAGCATGTGATCTCTCTCTTCCTCTTTTGCTCGTTTTGTCTGACACTGCCATGAACTGTTGCCCCTCTGCTACACCACCCTGCCTTGGAGCCAGCTGATTGTGGACTGAAGCCTCCACAAACTGAGCTAAATAAACCTTTCCTTCCTTAATTTGGAGCATTGAATATTTTGTCTCAGAGTGAGAGAAAAGTAACAAAGACAATTTGGTACCAGAGAAGTGATGTTACTGCTGTAATTATACCTGACCACGTGGTTTAAGACCCGTTGAGAAGGGCTTGTGGGAAGACTTAGGAAAGGTTCAGAGATGTCATCCGGAAGAGTAAAGTTGGCATGCCTTAGACTATTCTGTATGAGAAGTTCTGATCGGAGCTCAGAAGACCGTTAGGAATCCTGCCAGTAAAAACCAGGCTCAGAAGGTTTCTGCTGAGAACAAGGAATGCATTGGCCATAAAACTCCAGATGATGTGTTATGGCTTGGCAAAAAGTTTGTCTGCATTTTGTTGTGTCCAGAGACTGCCTGAGACTGAAGTTAAGGGTGACAGACTAATTTGGCAGAACTTTCAAAGCAATTGGATGTTGAGGCTGTGGCATGGCTGCTGCTAGGAGCTGTTAGCCAGATTTATGTTGAGAATCAAGAGCAAAGAGCTCAGCAGCAAATTTAAAATGCTGTGAGTTTGGCCAGAAAGAAAGCCCCAGTAAAGCTATGGACTGCAAAGTCAGCTGAGGCAATCTCCATTGCTGAGAAGGAACAAGAAATTAGAAAAGATGGCCTGAGGGCAGCACAAGAACAAGAAAATCTTTACCCTTTGCAGCCTCAAAACTGAAAAAGTGAAAAACCGCTTTGAGGAGAAAGTCACAGAATGCCATGTTCCATAGTGGTGATGGCATAGAGAATTTTTCCCTCAGAATCATGTTCAGAATACTCGGTGATCCAGGCACTCAAACCCTACAGCCAACAGAAAGCCTGGCTACTGCTTGCCCCTGGCAGTAGATCTTGGTATCACTCACATGATGCTGGTTTTAGATGCATGCATAATGCAAGAGTTATGAGGTTAAGAAGGCTTCCACCTAGATTTCGGAAGGCCTGGGAGATCAGGCAGTGTGCTCCTGAGAGGAGGGAAGAGTATGAAGCTGAATATGAAGCCAAAGGTGCAATGGAGAACCCAGAAGTTTGGAAAATCCAGGAATGTGGATCATCAAAGGAAACCTATAAAAAAATCAAGCAATGCAGACCTAAGAGGGAAACCCTGGGAGCTACAATCGCTGGAAGCCATAGGGACAGAGTCATGCAACCGGTGCTCATGGTTTGCCACAGATTGCCTCAGATGCTGTACTTGGAACTATAGGACTTAATGTTTGCCCTCATGGATTTTGGAGTTGTTTTGTTCCGAATTCTTATACCTTTTTTTTAACTTTTGGAATAGTAATATCTATCGTGTGCCATTGAACGTTGAAAGTGTT